ATATTAATTTATGCCTAGGAACCTTACTGAGGCATGATGCTATTTGTTTAGAATCCCTACTGAGGCCTATCAATTGCCCTCAATATACACCGATTATGGCTATCTAAAAATGTCGAGTGAAGCATTTTGTCGAGTACATTGGTGTACACTATGGGGTCCCATACCAGACTTCTATAGGGTCTCGATAGACTTTTCAAACTATTTTTCATGCATTCCTATGGTTCTCGGTGTGCATATTTCTCTTAACTTTTAAATGAACGTGTCTTACTTTGAATCCCCATCAATTAAAGTAGAATATTATCTAGGAAAAAAAAAAATTGTCATGCACTCTTTCTTCATCCATATTTTTCACCACACAAAAGTTTTTAAAATGCTAATAACAACTTGAGTTTTCCAATATTTGTAAGTACCTTTTGAAAGCATTTTGACCTTACATTTTAAGAAAACATAATCAAAATTCACAAGAAAGAACTAAACATAATCAAACAGAAAATCTTTACTTAACAAATTAAAGCCAAGTCTAAACCTTTATGTACCTCCCAATCACAGCAAAATAAAAAATTATCTTCGAGTTTTAACTCCCTTGTCTTGTATAGTTGAGACCACTTGGAACATTATTATTTGGTTAATTTAGTGATTAACTTTTCACCTGCTTACTTTCTCATTGCTTTTACCAATCCACGTTTGGCTGGTGGTTTTTATGTCCCATGCATTGAATCAAGTATAGGGTTAAACAAATCATAATAAAAAATTACTCAGCGTCAATCGTTTAAGCTCGTGTTTGACGTCAATTGTTGGACCAATTTAGATGTGACCATAAATCACATAAAAACACAACACCGTATCGAGATTCACTCAAAGTTTGGTACATCCGGCACTTGTGTTGGTAAGAAATCAAATCAGTCACATGAAATTTTTGAAAAATATGGCATACTAAGGTTGCTTTTTATTAGCAAATTCATTGAACACTCCACCCTATTGTACAAAAGGCTCTTCCTAGCTACAATGGTTCTAAGAGTTTAGATCTCTCTCCATGTCACTTGTCTATAACCTACCAATCAAACAATCGAATTATATGCCCACTATATTATAGCTAAGGTGGTAGTTGAGCATGATTTGAGTAACCCCCAATGCTTTTTTAATAAGCCAAAGACACATGAAAGAGGGGAGATTGGAGGAAGTGGGCATCACATAAGGCGAGAGATGTGACACAGGAAGAGAATCTGATGCCTGGGATCAGTATCTATATAGACTATATAAAAATATCCCATATGAGTTTGCGTCACAAATTGCTTGTCACTTAAATTGATATCAACCTCTTTTTCTTGGGCCATAAAATGATATCAACAAATTGCAAATACAAGAGTTTTCACACTAAGCGTGTGTGTGGGCAGATCTTAGCCGTCCATGCAATTTATAGTTCTAAATCAACACGCATAAAGATTAATTCTAATCGTTGAGGTGTGTAAGTCTCACAATGCATCAACAATAATACGTCCACTCTACGTGAGAGATGGATTCTCAAATTTTCATCATTCACATAAATATATCGAAAATAGTTATGTGTTCCATTTCATTGCCACATGGATGTGCAAGAAAGAAAATGAAAATTCAAACAACCGCAAACCAACCATGTGTGAACATGAATGTTAGTTGGCCGTGAAGTCGCTTTACATGTCAATTGGGTACATAGAAAAGCTAACTAAGAGTAATATGTAGACGAAAATGAAATGAAAATAATCATATCCAATCCATCATTTTTTGAAAAACCGATCATGTGACTAGCAATTTAAAATTTTACAGAAGGATTTCATACATATAAATGGAGTTTCTGGTCAACACCACAACGTTATCGCTTCGATAGAGAGAGAGAGATATATATGTATGAACATAAATGGCTGTTTCACATACGGATAATCAAAACTTATTAACAAGGTCAACAATTTCATTTTGAATAATTGCGTTTAATCATAGAATAAATTGAATTGGTTATTGTAATGAATATTGATGCACGGAAGTTGAATTAAGGAACAATGTGATGAAGATGACACATGCAGGTGTGATTGGTCAGTAGGTGGAGATGCTACGTGAAAATGATACTTTTGGCGACTCTAGAACAAGGCTCAGTGAAGACACTTCCTTGGCAACGCTCCTCAATCAAAGATTGTGGAGACTCTAGAACTAGGAAGTTTTGTGATGAAGTACTTTTGTTGATGCACGAAATTGGATTAATGTACGGTGTGGTGCAGTTAGTGAAAATATATTCATGGACATGAACGATTACATTCGAAAGAGAGCAGAGGTTATCCTATATAAATGTGAAATTGGAGGAACTTTGTTGAGCTAACCAACGTGTGATTTGACTAGGCTTAATGTAATGTTGTCACTTGTTGCGTCGTGATGACTGGTCTCCAAGTTGAAGGAAATTCTCCTATTAGTTATATGAGCATATATATCCAATAAGTGGTTGCCACGTGTCGTGACTCCACTTGCATGGGGTTGGTTTGTGTGCTTTGGAAGAGATGCTTAAGTACTGGGGATGCTTTAGTAGGTTCATAGTTCTTTTCAGGTGATTGGTGTTCAATAGTTTCAGGGCCAATTATATACAATACAAACAAACTTTGATTTTGCAAATAGCTAACCTAAAAGTTCTTCCTCACTCAGGAACTTCAGCAAATATTGTACATCGTAATCTTTCTTGTTGTACTTCTCTTAATCAGCAGTTTATGTGCTAGCATTCGGATCATCTTTTGACTTTTAATTTGGAAGCAAAAACTATAGATGTTAACATATATACTAGAGTTGTAGGTGTGGCTCTGGATTGAAAGCAAGATTGTATTATCCGAATTTTTTTTATAGAATTACTATGAAACATTCATGGAGAGCTAGATATGGTCCCCTCCACGCTCACAGGCTCACAGCTCAAACATTCTTCAAGTTACACAGATCTCCAACACCAGTGCGTCAAGACAAAAACTTCTCAAACCCCCAAACACATTTTTATTTGAAACAAGTTATTAAGAATATCAAGGTTGTTCTCAATGTCTTGTAGTTAGGAACTAGGGTTTTCATACATGTGAAACTACTGCTTTATTGTACAGCTACCAACGTGCAAATGGGCGACAAGTGGCACCATCTTCGTTGCCCTTAGTTTATTTGTCGACTGCTTGCACAATATTTACTTTCGTTTTAATCTTCACGTTGATATTGGAGGTTCAAGGAAAATGGGGGAGAAAGATGAATTCAAGTGGTCCACAACGAAATATATGCATGGTTTGCTTAATGCTCATGGTCATAAAAAACTAATTAATGAAACAAGAGGTTGTAATTCTTAAAACGAATAATGATTCTCATCAAGGGAAACCTAAGTTGTAATTCTTAAAATGTATGCTGGAGGTTTTTGCTTTTAAATTGCATACTATTTTTCTTCTTCATCACACCGTTATTTATTTATGTCTCGTAATTTTCTTTTATACTCAATCGATTATAAATAAAATAAAAATGTGCATGAGAGGAAAATAGGCATGTGGAAATCACTTCTTGAATTAATAGGTTAATTAACCTTACAGTGGTAGCATTTTTCTCGGGTATATATGTGTATGGTTATATATAAAACGCAAAGCTTGCATATATGTAAAATTCAACCCCTAATTAAGACATGATCATTTCATGGCATGGATGAAAGTCTAGGTCGGTCATACAAATCCCTCACACTCTCACACGCGATGCATGACGAATCATACTGGCTATAGGTTCACATGGTTAAGAATCTACACTCATCCAGTTGAGGTCTTTGCTTGCTTTCCCCTTTCAATACCACTTGTGGCATACCAAAAGGCATATTTAAGCAATGAAAGTGAATTTAACCCAGAAAAAGCATCAATCGATGATTCAGTTTGAGACGGCTGATGATTCAGTTTGATATGGCCGACTAAGGCCATTTCGTCCCACCGGCATATAGGCGAAAATGGGGCAAGCATGTATAGTTGGTAGAGATACATAGATGGCCCATATGGTTAAATCACACTTGAAAAATCATCATTAGTGCCACAACACCCAATAAACATAAAATTAAAGTATGAATAACTGTTAACACTAATAAAGCTATACGCATCACCAACACCAAGAATGTCAACATTATCTTATGATACTTATCTATCAAAACCAAAGATAAATTAATTATTAATTATTTATAAGTTTAATAATTATTTTCCTATTTGTTAATTATCAGGAAGAGTAATGCTAGGCAGACTAAATTTTAGAAATTAAATGATATGTAAGTTGATAATTGGTTTATTACTTAAGCGTTGATAGACGTACTCATTTCTATTGGTGACACATCATTTAGTTTCAAAATTTAATCCCTAAATTTAGTCTTCCTAGCATTACTCTACCAGGAAATTGAGTATATAAGGATTTGGTTTTACTACTAGAAGCAGTGTTAATGAATTTGATAATAGTGTACGTATATGTTTCTTTTCTATATTTACTTATGTTTTACAAGAATTTTCTTGCAATTTAAGTATAGGACTGAACATGGGATGGAGAGATCACCACAAAACAGCTATATATTGCCAGGTGATTCCCTGAATGGCATTTAATTCCAAATCGTTTTGACGAGGAAATGTAAGATCCATATGTATGCACATATATATATGTCAGCCCCACCTACCAATAGGTTTCAGAAGCCAAGGAACAAACCATGCATATTGGACGACAAACCATGCATATTGGACGACAAACCATGCGTATTGGACACAAAGTGGACATATACTATTTGTCTCTAACTTTACTAGTTTAGTTGACAAACAACGAATGTTACACTAAACTTAAAATAAATTACAAGAGATGGATTCGAATTCAGGTGCAACATATATTGTTCTAGCCAACTTAACTAAACTCATGTTTGTATTAATTTAGTAATTTAATAAAACTATTTAGAGATCATACATGTCTAATAGAGGTGAATCATATTGCAGAAGATATCGCTTTTAATGTTTTCAGTCCATTTATCAACTAGGAATTATCTACCACATTTTCTTTCTTCTCTTTTTCCTTTTAAGACTAAGTGATGACCATGTCTTTTTGCTTTAATTAGCCCCTTACCTGCTTAATCCAAATGACTTTGGTTGAGCTGGCACGGATGAAATAACTCCTTGCGCAACTGGCCCTGTAGCCACAGACTCGAATCTATGACTTGTTCATGAAGGCCACTGAAGGGCACTAGCGTTAGACCAGCAGCCACTGATTTTGTGAGATTTTGCATGTCACTCTTTTGGGACTTTGCATGTTCAGTGTACATGCTTGATTCATGTTACTGCCCCAAGGCATGATTTGAGTGGTAGCTACTCTTCCTATAAATTGCTGCAAAAGAAAATGGTATCTGTTGATGAAGTCCCAGAAAAGTGTGAAAGCAATCTGCAAAAAGTGGGTGTTTTGAGTGAGCTTAGTTTGAACAAAGCAGCTGATCATCATCAAGAAAAACAAATTTCTGTGAATGCTTTGTTTGTGTGGCTGGTTTAGAGGAGAAAATGAGCATTATCTTTGATCAAAGTCAGGTACAGTACTTCCACTATCCATTAATCTTGGAGTTGATGAAGAGAGAAATATATACTAATCAATCTTGGTTCACTAATTTAATTATTAATAAGAGAATAATGTTAGATAAATTAATTTTTTAGACTAAATTTACACATTATGTGTTGTGCAATAGAAAATAAGTATGCTAATTAAAACTTAGAAAACACTTAAACCCAGTTTTTTAGGTTTAATGGGGACTATTGGGAACTGTGTTCTGGGTCTGTGATGAGAGAACAACCCTTCAGAACTACAACTTCTCCATTTTTATAATAACAAAATACATAATATATTTGACTTCTCCTTACCTACTTACTTCCTCTTTGCAAACTAGTTGAATTAATTTACTTGCTGCTGCCTCTTTCCTCAAATCTCAAAGCACAGATAACAGCTTAATTAGTTTCATATATACTTCCTTCCTGTTCATACATTTGTCATACAACTATTTATATCATCTGCAGTTTCTGCTTCAAATCCCCAATTCAACACTTTCCTTTTTAGGGTTTTGTTGAAAATATTTGAGTAAGGAAAGCCCAAAACTTTGAGCCTTTCATTTTTTTGCCCTATTTTGATTATTTTTTATTATTACAAAAGAGGATTTTGAACTCTAGATCTCTAGCCTATTAATTTCTACTTAGCACTCTACCCACTTTTGCTATTGGGCTAACTCCTGTGGCTTTTTCATTTTGATTTTTACCTACTATTTTTTTGCTTATACTGGAGTTAAAAACAGCAGACTACCAGCTTTCAGCAATATATAATTTTGTTTCCACAATTTACCCTTTAGTATTCTTCTGTACACATTTCTACCAACTTATATTTACTGTACAATATTCAAATCCAACAAAAGGGAAAGTTTTCTCTCCACTTACCCTAATTTTTCCTTCCAATAATTACTTGCTCAGGCTTGAGTAATTCATGGAGTTGAAAAACCTACTTGAAGATCAAATGCCTACGCCTTTGTGGTTCTTCAGATTCCCACGGCCATTGTTGCTTTTTCTTGCTCCATTCCTTGTATTGGTTGGATTAATGGGGTTTGGATTCCTCTCCATCTTCCTAACATCTATGGTGCTGATTTTCTCGACTGTTGTTTTCACATATTCCAAGCAAAAACCACTTCATCTGGTTGAGAATAAGTTAGCTGAAGAAAAAATGTTCATTCCTTGCTTGGAAGAAGTATCAAAACATCAAAGTGCTTCCCCACAAGAGAAGGATGCTCAAGAAGCACCACTGAGCTCACCAGATTTGATATCAGAAAGTGAATGCGTTGATCACCTATCAACCAGTGATGATTCTGAATTAGTAGGCTGGTCGTTTGGAGAAAATGTGACTCGGAGCCCCGATTTCTCAGACGGCTCAATTTCCGACGAGGATAGCCTCATCGAAATAGCCCTCCCGGGCGGATACTATGTCGATCACCAGGAGCATGACTCAGTGTTTAACCTGCAGCAGAAAATGCCAGGTTTGTCACACCAGTCCATTTTTAAGCAGCATACTCTATTGGAGCTCTTGGCTGAGATCAATGAGATGAATGAGGAAGAAAATTTGTTCGAAATCGACTTATCCATGGGATCCATCAAGTGTTCAAGGTTTGAGATTGAAGCTTGAGAGTTGCCTTTTTTTTTTTGTCAATTTTATGACCATTTTTATGTTTTTGATCCTCCATGGATTTGGTTGAAGATAAAGCTTAAAATTAGCATTCTGCTTATGTGCAATTGGCCTCTTAGTGTTATATTGTTGTGCACAGTAGGCTGCTTCTGCTTTTTGACAAGCTTTGGATTCCCATCAAAGCACTTGTACTATGGCCCTTTTCTTTTCTCCTAATGCACACTAGTTAAAGTATTAAAAGTTTAATTGAAGGTTAAAAACATTTTATTTTGCTGGAATTCCACTTGCTTTTCCTTTTCTTCTCAGCTTCTTTTTGCTGTCTCTGACTCTCTATGGCATCACTGGTCACCATTTTAGATCTCCTTTGATTGCTTTTGTGGATTCTGGAGGACAATATTTTCAGGATGAAGATTAATATCCTTTTGTTAAATCAATATAAATATACGTTAACTAGATATTGAGTTGACTATTAGCATCTATGCAATTACTGCATCAACAATTATCAATTATAAACTGGATCAGATCTTCAGACTAAGTATTATGAACTTGATCAGATCTTCAGACTAAGTATACTATATTATTATTGTGAACACAAGTATATTTGACAAGGTCTAGTTCTTAGTTGCCACGAGTTGAAGTCGTTATTACGGACATCGAAATATCGGTGAAATAAACATTCACTAACACATTAAGTTTTGACATGTCAGGGCTTACGTGACATGCACCATGTGTTTCACAAATCGTACATGGCACATAACTCATCAAAATTGGACAAGTTATCAAAAGAGACACGTGTCAACACTTGATGGAAATGAATTCATTGATTTTAATTTAAATTAAACAAAATTAATTTAAATCAAATGAAAATACCAAATTGGGGAAGATTGATTTATTTGATTAAATAAAATATTAATTGATGGAGTCAAATCACGAAACAAGCCACAAATCAAGTCTTGGTTCTTTTGTCAATTAATCAAGTCCACAATCAAGGTTAATTAATCAAGACTTGGAAAGCCTATGAATACGATGCTCCAAGACAAAGAAAAGGTCAGAAATTCATCCAAACACCCAGACGCTCGAACTCCCAAACTTCCAAATTCCAAACACTCAGGACTCTAAAAACCCTATGCTTTCTTTGTCACATCGGTGAAGAACCATCAAGCATCACTACACGTGCCAGTTTTTCCATGTCACAAGCCAAACCCTTGCGGCATCCATTTGTTCGAGATCAAGTCATTGCGACGCTTGGATCAACAATCCTACACATACATCCTACGAACCCGGAGATCGAATCAGAGGATCAAAGTTGTAACAGAGATTGTAACCCTACATTTATATTAATACAAAAACATTATTTTGTACACGTGTTCTTGTTTGATTTGTTGCATGAATTTCTCGTTTATAGTTATTTTCGAGAGATATTATGATGGAAAAAGGGATCTTGCATATGCTTATAAGTAATTGGGCTACTCCCCATATTACCAATTTGTTTTATGGTGGAAGCTCAACTTCTTCATGGTATAGGTTGTCTAATGTGTGAAGCGTAGTGGCTACATGTGCTCCACATCACCTGATTGGTGTTGTTTATGTGCTAGACTTGAAAATTTGCCACGCGTAAGGGGGCTTGTTGAGAATGAATCTCACATTAATGGGAGGATGAATCTTGCATGTGCTTATAAGTAGTTAAGCTAATCTTCATATTGTCAATTAATTTTATGGTAAAACCTCAACTTCTCGAATAATTACATGCATCAAAATGTATATTTCTTTCTAACTATCTCTTCTCATATCAAGTATCCAAGTATAACCTCTTTTCACCTTAGTTTTAATCGTGTTTCAAGTATATTCTATGGTCATTTGTTTTTACTTTGGCACATAGTGAAGAAGAGGCATGGATGCCCATATAGCACCTTATCCAAATTGATTCCTTCTCATCTCCTGCTAAACTTAGATCAGAAGCTTTGGAGCCTTAGACCTCTTTATCCTATCCACAAATAATATTTCTAAATTTTTCCTTTGATCATATAGTAAATGTTATGCTGATGCTATTGCTATTGCTATTATTGCTATTATTGCTATTCTTGGTAAAAACTTTGCTTTTTAATTCGCCACTGTTTTAAAAAATTATTGTTAATTTGTTAATTAAAAGCTTGTATTAGATTTTAGATCGTATAATCTTTTTATCATTCACAAATTCCTCACTGATGAGTCCATATTATACTATATATTTTACTCTAATCTTAGTATTAATTTATTGATTTTTTTGGTAGAATTTTGATACTTTGTTATATATTTTCAATGTAGGACTTTCGACTTCCTCTAGAGCAAAACGTAACCAAACGGATGAATTTTGGAGTGATTCTAATTCGAGGATGTTTGTGGGTCTTTCAAGATGATTGTGTCAAAATTCCAGATTTTTCTACCAAGCCGTTGACCGTGGCAAAGAAAAGAAGACACAGCGCGCAGCTTTCCCAAATTGACGTTTTTGGACGTTTTAAGTATTTTGGAGGTATTTTGAGGAAGATTCCTTCTGAGGATTTGTAGGGGACGTCTTCAGCTTTCAAAAGAGACATTTTGGGACCAAATTGGAGTTGATTTGGTCGGTCAAAAGTGTGATTTTCTGAAAAGTCCGAATTTTAGTTCAAATAGGAAACCTTTTATTTTCTGTTTTATCATTTAATTATGTTTCCTAGTTTTATTCTAAGACCTTTTCAAGGTAGGGTTTTATTTTCTAGTAGTATAAATAAGACTTTTTGGCCATTAGAAGAAAGTGAACGTACGTGGAGAATTTAGCTAGGCTTTGACGCTTTGTATTTTCAAGGTGTTTTCTATCCTTTTTCTATTTCAATAAAATTCCTTGTGTTTTATGGTTGTTCGTAACTAATTTACGTTTGCTAAGGTGATGGCTTGAGCCTTAGCATGAATATATAGTTTTTATTTAATTGCTTATGATATTATACATGCATACTTTGAATTATTAATCACTATGCTTTAAACTGTCTTTATATCTTAATGCTTAGCTACCATTAGGATGTTTAGATAAGTAATCATATGCAATTTGATCGAAATACCACCGGGGAATTGAGTATTGCTTCTTGTGATTGATAGTTGTAATTTCACTTAGGATGAATACCACGTCTTAGGGGTTGCATGGTTTTTCAAAGGGTTTTCACAAAGCGTAATGAGTCATGCATGTTTATATTTGATCTGAATACCATGGACAGATTGCATGTTTGATATACGTTATAGCTTGAATACCACGAGTAGAATATGCATTAGGAAAACCTAACATTCAAAGTTGCATGGGTAATTTATAAGTAATTAGTAAATCTACATAGGATTGTTTAGAGGACGGCGGAACCCTAGGCTTTTACAATTTGGTTTTCAAAACGTTTTCCTTTGTCTTCTTTACTTTGCTAATTTCTTTATTCATTTTAATTAAATTCGTTTTTATTATTTTTAAATTCAAAATCAACCTCTTCCAATCTTTGTTTTCAAATAGTTAATTAAGAATTAGTTTAAACATAAATTATTCATTCAATCCCTGTGGAAAACGACATTGCTTGAGCCGTTTATACTACAACTACCATGTTCTCTTGCAAGTATTTTTAAGTGTTTTTATTCTTATTTTTGCAGGCTATAGAAATACCTATCACTCACATACTCTAATGCTTTTAACATTTTATTATGAGAATGTATTGATTTTGAGCCGTTTATACTACAACTACATTGTTCTCTTGCAAATATTTTTAAGTGTTTTTATTCCTGTTGTTGCAGGCTGTAGAAATATCACTCACATACTCTAATGCTTTTAACATTTTATTATGAGAATGTGTTGATTTTTTTTTTTTTGAAAAGGAACTACAAACCAAAGCACGAAAGCCTACCAAGAGGCTAACACCACAGAGGCAGACAACACAGAAAGCGATGAGAGGGGATCCAGCACACAGACGCTCCCACAAAGAGCGTCACCCCCAACACCACCAGAACAAAATTAAGGAGGGCAAGGAAGACCATCCTTATTCAAAACAAAGACCAAAGAAGATGGGGGCCTAACAACCCAAACACGAGAACCCATCTCAGGAAAACCCCGCGACGCAAGGAAGTCAGCGGCTCCATTGGCTGTTCTTGGCACCCAAGACCAGCGACAGAACTGGAAAGTTTCACTAACCAATTTAACTCTCGTCAGAACCGGAAAAGCTTCCCAACTGCCAGCATCAACAGCTCCAGAGAGCCAATCAATGGACTCGCGAGAATCCGACTCCAAAATTATCGATTGATAGCCCAAAGAAGACCCCAATTCACAACCACGCAGCAAAGCGGTCGCTTCGGCCGCAGCAACGGAAGGAGAAGAGAATGCAAATCTCTCCGCTGCCATAAATTGACCATTAGCATCCCGAATGACCACTTCAGCAAAACCCGAAAGGGTCGAAAGGGACAAACTAGCATCAACATTAATTTTAAAGAAGGAAGAAGGATGAGGTATCCAATGAGGAACCTGATCAATACAGGCCAAGGGCCTAGAAGCACCAATGCCCGTCCACCCCATGGCATCCCAGTAAGTCCCAATAGCAAAGGACACCCCCAGAATGACCTTAATAGGGTGAATGGGAACCTGATTAAACACAAACTCGCATCTGGATCGCCAAATAAACCACACAGTAAACGCAACATAAGAACAGATCCACTTCCTTTCCGCCGAACAACCTGGGAAACGAACAAGGACTTCCAGCAACCAATCCGCCCAAGAAGAAATATTCTCTCCATCAATCCTATAATTAAGGGCACCTCCAAACTAGATGGCAGTCACCCACGGACATTGAAGAAAAATATGCTCAATTGTCTCATCGTGACAATTACAGATTGGGCAGATGGGGGAGAGGGAAACCCTCATCTGAAACAAATTTCCTGAGTAGCAATACCACGGTGCAGAGACATCCAAAAGAAAAGACGGATCTTACCAGGAACAGGCAGACTCCAAACCAGAGTCCACAGCTTCTTGGGGATAGCACGAGTCCTGGGCAGACGATGATCCCGAGAAGCAAGAGATCCCAGTTGCAACCAACGATATCCCGACTTAACCGAGTACTTGTCATTTTTGCTAGCTTTCCACACTAACTGATCCTTACACCTGAAATCACATAGAGGCAAACTTTTAATCGTTAATTGGGCCTCCTCAGAAATAAACGGCAGCAAGAAATCAATGTCCCAATTCAGCGACTCATGGCAAATCAGAGAAGAAACACGCAGATTGGGAGAAACAGCCACCTCCCCAAGC